AGGATTGGCGCCATAATGTACTTATGGAAAGCAGCTGCTATGTGGAAAGCAGCAGTGTTGGAGGTAAAACGACACTTCATGAATTATAATTACTGGGTAAATGTAAAATCATGTACTGTAAAACCATCAACTACTGCAAAAAGAAAATCTGTTCCACGAGAACTTAATCTGGATGCTGATCCGTCTTTTTATATTCAGCTGTAGTTGATGTGAATACTGTCCCCTTGTGATAGTGACAGGTATGTAAAAAACAAAACAAAATGGTAAATCATAGGAAATTTTAATGGACTGTATTGACTGAACTATGCCATGTATCTTTTGTATTATGTGAGCTGAGCTATTGTTATATCTTATTTTCATTAGCAAACCATCCCATGACAATGGATCTTGTAGAGAACGTTAAAAAAATATAGTGAGGATTTTTAACAGTATGGTTTTACCTCAATAATTACAGCAGGAATTGAGAAACCGCAATGTGTTTTTTGTTGTGACGTTCTATCAGTCGAATCTATGAAGCTGAACAAACTAAAACGTCATTTCGATAGCAAGCACCTGAGCTTTGCCAGCAAGGATACCAATCATTTTAGAAGCAAAGATGATGGACTCAAGAAAACAAGACTTGACACTGGTGGCAAGTACCACAAACAAAACGTAGCAGCTGTTGAAGCTTTGTAATTGGTGGCACTCAGAATCGCCAGAGCTATGAAACCTCATACCATTGTGGAGGATTTACTGTTGCCAGTGGCCAAAAACATTGTTCGAGTTATGATCAGAGACGAATTTGTTACAAAATTGAGTGCAATTTCCTTATCTAATGACACTGTCTGCAGAATATATGACATGTCTGCCAATATTCTTGATCAGGTAATCCAGGAAATTAAATCTGCTCCCCCTCCAATATCCAGCATCCAGTTTGATGAATCTACAGATGTTGCAAACTGTTCACAGTTAACTGGTTTACATGAGGTATATTAAAGATGGCGACTTTAAAGATGAGTTTCTTTTTTGCAAACCTCTTGAAACGACAACTACTGCACGTGGTGTATTTGACACGGTTGGTTCATTTCTGAAAGAGCATAAGATCTCTTGGGAAAAGGTTTGTGGTGTTTGCACAGATGGTGCTCCAGCTATGCTAGGATGTCCATCTGGATTTCAACGTTTGGTACTGAATGGGTCACCAAAAGTCATTGGAATTCACTGTATGGTTCATCGGCAAATATTAGCAACAAAGACGCTGTCACAAGAGTTACAAGAAGTAATGAAAAGAGTCAAAAGTTCTGTTATTTTTGTAAAGTCAACCATTTTCACAACTGTGCAACGAGTTGGATGCGCCAAATAATGCTCTATTTCACACTGAAGTGATATAGATGGTTGTTTAGAGGAAAGGTTTTAAGACATGTTTTTGAGCTTCGTGATGAACTCAAAACGTTTTTTAATCATAAAGTAAGATTGCAGTTTGAAGTATTTTTCAGCGATAAATGTGAACTGCAGAAAATAGCTTATTTTATTGACATCTTTGCCCTCTTGTAGGAGTTAACTTTATTACTGCAAGGACCAAATAAATGCAGCATACCTCGATTTGTCTGAAAATATCCCATCATTCCAAATGAAACTTCAGCTTTGACAAAACAAATTGGATGAAAATAAAATTTACATATTACCTACCTTATCTGCTTTCTTTGAGGAACATATCATTGAACCAGACAAAAGGATTACGATGATAATTTCTGTGAAAGAACACTTGCACATGCTCGCAGACGAAATCTCATCATACTTTCTAAATCTACCTGACACCCCATTTGCACTTGCCAGAAGCCCCTTCACAGTCAAGGTTGAAGATGTTCCTCAGACAGCACAAGAGGAGTTCATTGAACTTATTAACAGCAGTGCAGTGAGAAATAGTTTCTCTACAAGGCCAGTTACAAAATTCTGGATCAAGTGTTTTGTAGTCATATCCTGTTCTGTCAGACTGCTGCGCCGTCCTCTTCCATTTCCAACAACATATCTTTGTGAAACAGGGTTTTCCAGCATGTTGGTTATCAAGTCTAAATACAGAAGTAGACTTATTGTGGAAGATCAGATGATCTTCGTTGTGCAATTGCAAAGACTGCCCCAAGAATCTCTGATCTGGTGAGAAAGAAGCTATCTCAGCGTTAACATTGACATTGGCTTTCGCAAAATGTAGCAATGTAGTTTACTCTTGTTATATTAAGCCTGTTAGTCATGCTACACCATACTTCAAGACAAAATTTCATTTATTTAGAAATACATATTTTACATTATATAATTACATAGTTTTTGTGATTAATCACTATGCTTTAATTATGTTCGATTTGTAACAATGAGAATACATCTTGCATATCAGATATTTACATTACGGTTCATAACAGTAGCAAAATTAGTTACGAGTAGCAGTGAAAATAATTTTATGGCTGGGGGTCACCACAACATGAGGAACTGTATTAAAGGGTCGTGGCATTAGGAAGCTTGAGAACCACTATTCTAAGAAATATACTAAACTGTATATCCTCTCAGACAGATTTTCTCTTCAAATGCATTAGTAATTATTGATCTTAATTTATTATCCAGCTTTTGCATTCATACGAGGTGATTGAAAATACTAGGTCTTGTGTCTCGTGTAACAGCCTTCAAAGTGATATCTTTGTTTTCTACAGTTCTTCTGTAGCAGATTTTCTCAGTGCAATATACCATTTGACTTCTTCATTTTTGCTTCCATGGGTGTTGACTGTATTATGCACCTGAGGAAAATGAATCTCCTTGACAATGTCGATTTTCTGGGTCTCCATTTATCATTATCACCTCTGTCAGCCCAGTTGTGAAGATTTTTATTTCCTGTATTTACAGTGAATTGTAATCCATACTGAAGGCTGTAGTCTTTGATCTTCGTTCAGTATGTGTGTAAATCCTCTTCCCTTCCAACAAACTAGTCACAAGTTTTTAATGAGTTCCTCCATTCTGAAGCTGCATTCTTCATGAAGTCCAGCTTTGAGTTTATTTGCTCAACATACTGTTGGAATAGGTATGGTGAAAAACTACTACAACCCTGACGGGCACCTTTTCTGATTTTAAACCGTGCAGCATCTCCTTTTGTTCAAAGACTGCCTCTTGGTCTATGGACTGCCTCTGTGTGAACACAATTCTTTAGAATGCAAATGTTCTGGAATTATCATTCTACTCAAACTCCAAATTCAGTGTGTCATCAAATCAGTTCTGACTCAGGAAGCCTATAGGACAGACTAGAGCAACTTCTGTGGGTTTCCAAGACTAAATCTTTGTGGGAGCAGAAGACTTTTTTCCTTGAGTAGTGACTGGTGGGCTTCAAATGCTGACCTTATGGTTAGCAGCCCTAAAGGTAACTCACTAAGCTATGAGTGCTCCTTAGTGGGTAGAGTAGAAACATTAACCATACTAACTGGGAGGTCTTATGAAACCTCAGCAGCTATTTTGTCATTGTTGTAAGTATATCACATACCTTTTACCAATTCAGTTTTTTTCAGGTGTGCCAACTTAAAGCAATTAAAATAGTTGTGCCTTTAAACAATGTGATTCCCCCCTCGTCCCCAACATTGATGTTACCCTGTTTCCTTCTCCCACTCATTCTTTTGGTTTGTAAATGTTTCCAATGTTCAGAGGATACTTTCAAAATTAAAATTTGCTTTTTCTTATCTTTAAATGAGGGTATGCAATATTTACCCTTTTGTGATTGGCTAATTTCTTTTAACATGTCTTCAAGCTGTATTCATACTGCCCCATGTATCAAAACTTGACTTCTCCACGCCGAGTAACATTAGACTATACGAAGGACTTAGAAAAGTTTGTGGAAACCTTTGATATGTATGACCCATGCTTTTTGTTGATGAACATTTAAGCTTGTTCCCACCTTTTTGGCTGTTGTGAATAGTTCTGCAGTGAGCCTTGGTGGACAAATCTCTTTGAATTTTGAATTCAAGTCTTCGGTACATAGCTAGTAGTGGTCAAATGGTAGCTATGTTTATGTATCACCACACTGGTTTCCACAACAATTTTATTTTCTCACCAGCAACCAGATGTATGCTCCAGCTTCTACTTCCTTGTCAACATTTGTTATTTTTTGTTTATATAGCTTAGTCACCCTAGTGAGTATGTAATAGTACTTCATTGTACCTTTGGATTTGCATCTCTGATGTCTAGTGATGCCGACCATCTTTTCATGCATTGGGGGAACTTGTGACTGTATGCTTTGATGGAATGTCTTTTTAAGGCCTTGCCACATTTAATGATTGGGTTATTTGTCTTGTTTTATTGACAAAATTTTAATGTGTATTTTGGTTATTAGATTCTCGTTGGCTATATGCTTTCTGAAGATACGTCTCACCCCATAAGTTCCCCTTTTACTTTTGGTAGTCTTTTGATGAACAAAAGATTTTTTTTTTTTAATCAATTTATTGTGGGTCATACAATTCATCACAATACATAGATCAGTTGTGTAAAGCACATCTGTACATTTGTTGCCCTCATTATTCCCAAAATTTGCTTTCCTCTTGGGTTCCCAAAAGATTTTAATTTTTTATGAGGCCTAATTTTTTAATTTTGTCCTTCAATGTTTGTACATTAAAAAAATCATTTTATTAGGGGCTCATACAACTCTTATCACAATCTATATATACATCAATTGTGTAAAGCACATTTGTACATTCAGTGCCCTCATCCTTCTCAAAAACACTTGCTCTCCACGTAAGCCCCTGGCATCAGCTCCTCGTTTTCCTCCCCCTCCCCCTTCCCTCATGAACCCTTGATGATTTATAAATTCTTATTTCGACATATCTTGCACTGTCCAACGTCTCCCTTCACCCACATTTCTATTGTCTGTCCCCCAGGCAGTGTTTGTGCATTTGTAATTATATTACTTCATCCATTGTTAAAAGCTAGGCCCAACTGTTCTAAGAATTTTACGGTTTTAGTTTGCACAACTAGGTTCTTTTTTTTATTTAATTATTGCAAAAATTAATTTTAATTTTTAATCTTTAGTTTGATTTAAACATTGCTTTTTGTGTGATGCCGACACCAGCTGTGCAGAAAGGCTCTGAGAGATGTTCACAGCAGCACACACCTGCGGCTCTTCTTTGGTTCTGGGGGCTCCAGGGCAGCCAATACTGCTTCGTCAAACACATTCTTTAGGCCTTTCTGTGTGAGTGCAGAACACTCCACATATTTGACAGACTTCAGGTCACGGGCCAGCTTTTCGGCAGTCTCTGAGGTGATAGGCTTCTGTTTGTTCTTGGCAAGTTTCTCAATAGTAGAGGGGTCATCTCTGAGATCAACTTGGGTTCCAACAAGCAAGAAAGGAGTCTTTGGACAGTGGTGTGTTATCTCAGGTACCCACTTTTCTTTCACATTTTCAGATGAGGATGGAGAGACCACTGAAAAACAGACTAGAGATACATCTGTTTGTGGGTAACTCAGCGGCCGTAATCTGTCATAATCCTCTTGCCCTGCAGTATCAAAAAGTCCGAGAGCATATGGCTCTCCACCAATCATAACTGTGACTGCATAGTTGTCGAAAACGGTTCGTACATATTCAGATGGAAATTTGTTTTTTATATAGGATATCAGGAGACATGTTTTACCGGTACCATCACCTTCGACAACACACTTTATTGTCTGCATTGCTGAAATAGTTTTGTATCCACTTTTAATTTCAAACTCGATGTTGACCCCAGCTTCTCCCGCATAACTAGGTTCTTAATGGGTTTGAATTTGTTAGTGTGTATCGTATGAGGCAAGGATCCTGTTTAATTTTTCAGCATCTGAAAACCCAGTTTTCCCAGCACTGGCATTAAAGAGACTTTTCTTTCCCCATCGAATGGATTTAGCAAATAACAATTAGTGAAAATCAGTTGACCATAGATAGATGTATGGAATTATTTCTGGACTTGGATTCTATTTCATTGATTGTATCTATTGTTAAACCAGCACCAGTATTTTGATTAATGTGTTTAGGGACTGGTGGTGTAGTTGGGAAAGTGTTGGACTGCTCATCCCAAGGTCATCAGTTCAAACCCATCAGCTGCTCTATTGAACAAGGCGGCTTTCTGTTCTAGTGAAGACTTACAGCCTCAGAAAGCCCTGTATAGGGTCACTGACTTGGAATCAAGTAGATCAGTGGTTCTCAACCTTCCTCATGTCACTAATTTTTAATACAGTTCCTCATGTTGTGGTGACCCCCCAACCATAAAATTACTTTCATTGCTACTTCATAGCTGTAATTTTGCTACTGTTATGAATCAGGCGACCTCTGTGAAAGGGTTGTGGGACCCACAGCTTGAGAACCGCTGAACTAGATAGTAGTGGGTTTGTTTTTTAGTGTGTTTTAAAATGAGGAAACGTGAATTCTTATACTTGGGTCTTCTCTTTCATCGTTGTCTTAACTATTCAGGCTTCTTGCCTTCCCATTGAACATGAGGATTTAACAAAAATTATTTTTGTCAAGAAGACAGTTGGCATTCTTTTTGGGATTGCCTTGGACAGTATTGATATCTCATAATATTAAGTCTTCAAATCCATGAGTATGCGGCAGTTTCCCATTTATTTACTTTCTTTCAACAGTTTTATAGTTTTCATTGTATAAGTCTTTCCTTCACATCCCTGATTAGATTTATTTTTGTATTTTACTCTCTTATATGCTGTTGTAAATGGAATTGTTTCCCTAAAGTTCATTGCTATTGTGTAGAAACCTAGTTGAATTTTGTTTCCTGACCTTGTGCCCCGCAACTTTGCCAAATTCCTCAATTAGCTCTCTTAGTTTTCTTGTGGACTCCTTGGGATTTTGGTTTTTAAATATTTTCAACTTTTAGAGGATGCTTTAAAATTTTTAACTTGCTTTATAATTATGTAAAATATGAGCATGTGCTACCAAAGAAAAAATCTTTTTAGATGACCTTTGTTCAGAGTATCATCTTAGTAATGTATTATGTATTGAATTTACTGCCTGCCTGTCCTTTTACTGCAGTTAATCTATTTTTGGAGCATCTATATATATTTTGTTTGGAAGTCACTATATGATGTTTCATTAAGAATTTGAGTTCTTTAATGGTTGAGAATGTGTTTCCCATTTTTTATGTGCAGCCCAGTTATTTGCCTCGTGTACTTTGGGCATGCTATTAGGAGAGACCCATCCCTGGAAAAAAACACCATGCTTGGTAACATGGAGGACAGTGAAAAAGAGAAAGACCCTCAAGGCGATAGATTGACTGGCTGCAATAATGGGCTTAAACGTACAATTGTGAGAATGGCACAGGGCCGTTCCTTCTGTTGTTCAGAAAGAGCCAACTCTAGAAATAATTGTCACTAGTTATATAATACCTTCCCCCCCCTAGTTTGTAAATATTGTTCCCCAGTATTCTGAAACAACAGTGTATGCTTAAAGCTGCCTGTCTCCCCTTCTCTGTTGTAGATGACTTTTAATTTTTCAGCCTGTATAACCCTACCTAAGATGCCTGTGAGTTTTCTCTAAAACTCATTCACTTAGCCTGTATTCTGTGGTATTGTACAGCTCTGTCTCAGCCTAGCTTGTGATATGGAATACTCTTTGCTCTTCTAATGAAAATATTTAGATTTTTTGCTTTCTCTGAATATTTTTCTTTTTTTCTTCATAGAATTGAAAGTACTTATTGTATAATACAGTACTTAAAAAAAAACATTTCAACTTTGAGATGTCTGTGAGAATGGCTTACATAACTCCTACATTTTTTTCCTGGAAAACAGAAACCAAGTAAATAACTTAGCTGTCACATAACTAGAGTGCTACAATGCAAAGATCCTGAGTTCTAGAGTTGCATTATGAATCCACCTTCTCAGCTCTCAGGCCTGTTATATTGTAGGCTCATAGAATTGGTTTTCAGTGTTTTTATCGTCACCTATGAAACTTATGTGATTTATTGTTGGCAGGATTTTTGAAGATAAAACCAAGGAAGTACATACAATACAGTATAAGCATTAAGTAGTTACTTAAATATTTAAAGTGACATTTAAGAAATAAACATTTCTCGACATGATCGCTGAAGACAGATGTGTGCATAAGCAAATATGGTGAAGAAAGCTGATAGTGTCCGGCTATCAAAAGATTTAGCGTCTGGGGTTTTCAAGGCTTGAAGGCAAGCAAGCGACCATCTAGTTCAGAAGCAACAAGGCCCACAGAGAAGCACACAAGCCTGTGTGAACACGAAGTGTTGAAGGGATCAGGTAGCAGACACCAAAGAACAAAAACCAACATGTGTGATCATGAAGGGCCGAAGGGATCAGGTTTCAAGCACCAAAGGCAGGGGGGAATCATATCATCGTGAATGAGGGTGGCGCATGATGGGGACCCAATGCCCATCTGTGGACAACTGGACGTACCCTGCAGAGGGGTAGTGGGGAGGAGATG